TTGAACGTCTTTTTTATATAGTTGAGATAACTTAGATTTATGCGTTACTTTGCAAAGTGTGAACAGCTCTTAGCAGTTGAATTCACAATGTTTAAAAAGGAAAATTTCCACTTGTTTTCTAATTCTGACCAAGCGAGTAAGTAAAGAAGTTTTATTTTTGTGCGTGCCTCTTTGAAGCATGAAATGTTCAGCAAATGTAGAAAAGGTTCCAGTTCGTTGCTGGTAGAGAAGAAAATACTTATAGTTAAATCTGCTTTGAAATATGGCTTACAAGGGAAGGTGGCGCACCGAAGTGGTATGATTAGATGCTTTTTGATGAGCTGGTTCTGAATCCACCTTTCTTATCTGCTAAGCGGCTTTCTAAAAGAGGCTGTGGGCGGTAAAGGTGTGAAGTCAATAGGGTTTTGATGCGTAATGTGCGAAACCAGTTTGGGAGTGATTACTTGGTATAATTTTGAGTTCATTTACTACAAGGAATGTATACATACAGCGAACGCATAAATGTTTTTGAGCGAGTAGTTCTTGAAGACGTAGCACTGATTGTTTGCCAAGTTTGGACATCCAAAGGCGATAACTTCTTTCACAGAAGAGCTCAGCAGAAACGCTTCGCGGTCTGCTGCCTCAACGTGGCGAGGGGGTACTTCTAGGTGTAGTAAGAAGGTCCGAAATTACGAGTCAGCTCGGCTAAAACACGCCACTCTAGGCTATCTGTCAGGATTCGTTGCCACCTGCCTGACAACGCGTGCTGAAGTCGCCAGAAGGCAAAAACCGTCAATGTCACACAGTGAGCGGCGAATGCTTCGACACATCCCTATAACGTTCCAGCCAGGCTATCTAGGGTGGCGGGAAGTTCAATGACTTGTAGAACTTTAATCCATTCACCGCAGTGCCCTGCACACCGTGTTCGTCTGCCGCTTGGGATGTCGGATGGCAGTACAACCGGTGAGGGGCGAAAAAATCTCAGGTGCAAAAGCGAGACGACCATTGATCCTATCGGCAACAAAACGGATTCGAGAAAACAGAAGCTTGTGCACATACAATGCAAAGACCTTAGCTCCAGCCTACGAGCTCTTCGTTCTCTTGTACGCGCAAGCCACATCAAATTCCATGTGATTGCTTTGCAGGAAACAAAGAACAAAATTTCGACTACGCTCTAAAGGAAGGAAGGAACTCTTATCATACTTGGAGAGAAGGTTCCAACACGAAACATCGGAGGCGTGGGATTTGCCGTACCAATCCGTTAGCCACTTCATCAACTCTTATGAAATCCTGTCGCCGCGACCAGCACTCTCAAAGACTTGTTGCTCCAAGTCGGAAGAAGATCAGCATGATTAACATTATTCGCATATAGATGCAACAGATGAATCCGAACTTGACAAGTTCTATGAGGAGCTGGAAGACGCCATTTGCAAGGAGAAGTCGTTCTACAAATTCATAATTGCGACTTCAATGCAAGAACAGGACAGTCACAACACTAACAAGGCGACAAAATTGGAAAATTTGGACGGGAAATCGGAACAAAAATGGAGACAGACTCATCAGACTCATCGAAACGGCTCGTCTATTCCATGGAAATTCGTTCTACCAGAAGAAAGAACATCGTTGCTGGACGCGGAAGTCGCCAAATGAAACGGCACATGCAGAAATCGGCCATATTCTTGTCAACAAGAAATGGAGTTTGATCGATGTCGGAGTGGTTCCGTCGCTCTGTACAGGTTCGGACCACCGTTTACTTCGTGCAAAGATCCGCCGCTCTAATCGGAAAGTGCAAAGAATATCTTGCCATCGCGCGAAATCTATAAGAGAAGCAGTATACGACGAACGCATTCTCGAGAACGCCATTTCCAGATATGACTGGAAGGAATGCGAAGATCCAACAAAAGATCTAGAAAAACATCAAGGAGCTTTTTCAGGAAAAGGGGAATCCTGCACGCAGATCCAAGTACATCGCATTTAGAGCAATACTGTTCAACGGCATTTGCAGGAAAGCCGTACAATAGAATATGAAGCGATATCGACAAATGAAGATATTGGAAGAGATTTGTAGGGACCTTCGCGAGCGCGAGATACCGGTGCAAGCTCTACTGAACAAGGACGGAAGACAAATGAATTCCCGACGCGAAATGGTACTAACAACGAGAAACTTCTTTAACAAATTTTTTGAACCACGACGCCGGTACCAGATCCTATCATCTCCACCGGTGAGTACCCACAGTGTTTTCTTCCTTCGGAAGTACGCTCGGACATAGAGTGCATGGAACGAGGCACAGATCCTGGTCCTGACGGAGTCACCGCCAACTTACTGAGAGCAGGCGGACACAAGTTACGCACTCTATTGGCAACTCATATGACACGTTATCTGGAATAAGAAAGACTACCCAACTAGTAAAAGACATCCTGCACCATCCTTTTCACAAGAAAGACGGAAGAGAAGACCTTAGGTACTGACCGATCAGCTTGCTAAGTGTGCTTTACAAGCTGTTCACGAAGATCATCACGTCTCGTATCTTAAGGATATTGGATGAAGCACAACCGACTAAGCAAGCCAGATTCCGAAGAAGATTCAGCTGCTCGATCACATCCAAACCGTCTCAAGGGTAGTAGAGGTTTGCCATGAAAATCAATTGCCCCTACTTCTCACCTTTATCAATTACGAGAAGGCCTTCGATAGTGTGGAAATCAACGCCGTTTTAACTGCTTCGGTCGACCAAGGCGTGGATCCAACATACTGAGGACTACAGCGGACTGCAACAAAGAGTGTACCAGCACGATACAGCTTTTTGACCACCCCTCCACATCCGTATCCAGAAAGGAGTCCGACAAGTCGACACGTTGTCGCTGAAGCTGCAGCAGTCCTGCAAGTACAGTCGCAGTCGCTTGATTGGAGAACGAAGAATTTGTATGGATAAAAGGTACCTATCGAGTCTCGTTTCGCAGACCATATCGTTTTGTTCTCGAAGTCTATTAGCGAAGCCGAAGAGATGCTGAACGAATTGAACCAAAGCGAGAGAAGGATTGGACTTAGGACTCGTAAGGAGACGCAGTTTATGAGAAGCACCTGGTGCAGTGAAGGTCATTGGATGATGCACCAAGAGAGGAGACTTCAACTTACGTTTATTTTGGACGTGCCGTCAATATGAACAACGACATAAAGATGAACTCAGCCGAAGACAAGGAGCAGCTTGATCAGCACTCGGTCCTCTGAGAGAGGCTACAGACAACTTTGCTGATTCGAAATTACGCGCTTGTCTTTTCAATGCGACAGTTCTCCCGACCTTTGATGCAACCGAAACCTGAGCGCTGATACCTCAGCAACCGTGAAGGCACTACGAACGGCACACAGAGCATTCGAAAGAAAACTTTTGAAGATGACCAAGTTTATTTAGTACCGACTTGAAATCCGGAGCTCCGACCTCAGACAACTATCGCGTCTAGAAGAATCAGCAGAGCACGTATCGAAGATTAGGCACAGATGGGCAGGTCATATTTTGAAAAGAGAAGACGACAGAGGGACAAAAAGAACGTTAGAATCCTCGAAACGTCCACGCGGGAGACCATCGAAGAGATGGTAAGACGAATTCGTTGCCTGTGTAACCAACTTCGTCAGCAGTCGAAGTTTAATTCAGATTGTCCAGCAGCAATCGCAACCGCGTATTAAGACAATCATGGATGACAATTGCACGAAAGCGTTCGAATGGTCAAAAGTTGGGGCCCGCACGACGTGTGAGGTCGGGTTATCTAATTAAGTAATCTAAGTAAGTAAGCAGATACTGAAGTTAGATTTGGAGTCAGCTCATCAGTACGCATCTAAAGACATACATATTATTTCGATTCGCCACTGCAATTTGGTATTTCCCTTGTTAAGAATTTGAACATTTGCCGGAAAACACGGTATTTGCAGCGAAATTCTGTTTTTCCGGCAGACTCCTAGCCTTCGAACGTAAACAACAGATGAATCATTTTTAGAGTTAGAGTCTTGCTCCCAAACGCGTGGTTTGAGTTAGTTTTTGCGTAATCTAAGAATATTGGAAGCAAGTATAGAATACGGCATACATATGAGGGTGTCCCAAAAGAATGTACCCACTGTTTGATTGTAATTAACTCTCTTGTAATGAAGTGTTTCGGGAAGCTTCAGGTACCATTTTGTGCGAGGTTCAACTTAGATTTACAATATGGAGCGAACTGATCGCTCTTCATTACTGTAGAGTTACGGTAGAAACTTCAAGCACTGTGAAAAAAGCTGCGGTTTCAAAAATCAAATAAATGTGAAAAATTGAAAATTCGGTTTCCATATACGCTGAATCCAGTACTCAATTATGTACAAGGTTGCGAAGTTTTCTTAACGGTATAATTGCAATTTTCGGGAGCATTAGAAAAACGGGTACTGCTTACCTTGCATAACTTTTTATTGAAGCATTATGATAAGCTGCAAGCTTCACATTTAGAATTAGCAACTCTAATTAGCCTAGTGTGAAACTCTTCAGGTTGTTTTATTTGCATTCTGAGGCAAAATATAGCCTTTCGTGGCTTAAACCCCTCTTTAAAGTTCCCACCGTAATCCTACAGTAATGAAGAGCAATCGGTGATTCGCTCTATGCTGTAAATCTAAATTGAACCTCGCTTCACAAAATGGTACCTAAAGCTTCCCTTACCACACTTCATTACAAAAGAGTTATTTACAATCAAACAGTGAGTACAATTTTTTTTGGTACACCCTGTATAGGCTACTGCAATACCTTTGGACGCGAACGCTGCTTTGTTAGCTGCAGAGCGCATGAGGGTTTACAGCGGTGAAGATACGTGCGCGTCGCGTTCGCGCCCAGTCAACTAATATTGCTTCTGCGCCCTAGTTGCATAGTCTTTATGACATATCTATGTTTGCTAATTACGCTCGCTCACAAATTATGACTGCTAAAATGTAATGCCGACCATGTCTCTCCACATGTTGTGCTTGCATATTTTAACGGTTTTCTGCATAGTTTAAATCAAAGACTTTTCAGGGCTCAATTTGCGAAGTGTCTTATGATCATGTTACATACTATGACGGTCAAGCCTTGGACTTGTGCGAAGCTCATTCACCTTTTGAAGTTCAAAGTTACAGGAGAGGTTATCCCACCAACTGCACTTACGGTAAGACAATCTATCACTTGCTCTCTGTAAATCTGTCCTCTCCAATCAAAATCCACTAGCTATGTTGATAGATAGTCTTAGAGATTTGCTCATAATAGAGTGCCCACATGAACGAAGAAAAAAACTTTTCTCTACTTTGCACATCAACAAAATTAGGAGCTTCGGTCTTCATCTTATGAACAAGATAATTTTTTGTAAGAGTGTAAGAACTTGTGGAGTCGAGCCTCCTCTAGCTTTGGTAAAGACGTTTCTTCACACTGAATTTTTTTGAGTTGTGCGCATTGGTTCCTAGCGCCGAAAGAGACCTGGTGAGAGATTTCGACGTAATTTCGTCCCAAAATTTCAAAGAATCTTTTTTTAGCAAACCAAAGGCATGGGTTTGGAGGAGAGTCTCCTCTCACATGCAGATTAGACAGCTTGTGATAAGACAGAGATTTGATCAATACTCGTTTGAAAAGGTGGCCAGATGAAGGATGACGGGTTGCGAAAAATCTATTTTTGGTCTATTTTATGCCTTTTTGCTATTTTCTTCACTTGTGAAAGTAACGAAAGTATGAAAGTAAGTGAAAGTGAAAGTGTGAAAGTAAAATTCTGCGTCATATTTCATGTGCACCACTCTGCGAGAGTGTGGGATATGAGATTGAGATTGTATGGGTGCGTATTTGTCGAATATAGGCGCATCGTTGGAAACTTTGCGCGAATCTCTTAAACTTAACTTCAGCAGTGGTTACTGGTATTTTGAGCTTATTTTGAAGCACGATCGGAGTTGTTTTTGCCGTTTCCTTTTACCGAACCGCATATGCGGAGCAAAGATAGACAATAGCCCGTAGTACACCCCCATCAGGGCATCTCTTTTGAGGCGGACGGAGTTGATCTCATCGCGCCTCAGCACATTGTCAGGGGAGCGATTGATTTCGAGCAGATCACTTACTGGACGATCGCGTCTTCAACGGTGGAACGTTTCTGTTTTTTGTGCGTTACTAGTCGAATGGATAAGACTACTCGTTTCAAGCGGCATAGCCTTGGTTCGAGTCCGGCTAGCGGAACAATTTTTGCTGCTTGGCCTGGTGACCTTTGATAGCGTCCGTTATCGAGAAATCGATGATAGCAGCTATCAGAGATTTCACCTATTTAGCAAACAACGAGATATAACAAATACACATTGTTTTGGCATTTATACGAGGAAAATTACACTTGGCGAAAAATGAATAGAAGGGTAAATCTACATTTTTGTCATCTGAAACGGTTCTTTCAAAAAAAAACAAGCAAAAACTGCAAGAAAAATGCACAAAAAACCTTTTTTTCCGATTTCGTCGCGCAATCAGCTGTTCGTCGATCCTCACTCACTTAGGCGCCCGAAACTGTGCAGTTTTGAGAGTTATGCACCGCAAAAGAACGTCAGCTGCGATGTTTCGTAAGTTACTCGGGAGCAACTTACGGAGGTTTTCTCTATGCTCTCCTCTTTAGCATAGTATTTACCTAATCTCGTTGCCCGGCTCATCTCCGATGACTCGGTCGGGAGCTGATCTCCCTGCTGGGCTTCATCTGAAGCTCACCTGTAGGGTGACCTTGCATACTTATACCACGGAAAGTGGGCAGTTCTCATCTCACCCGACAAACCCTCATATGAGGGTCTCAGGGGAGATTATCTCCCGTGACTGAGCTTTACTACGGGCCAATATCTTAGTTTCAGTTTATGCCAAATTTCTTCTTCTTTTTAATAACTGCTATTTGTTTCTAGGTATAATTCAAAGTTTTGAGACATCTTCTACTACCTTCGGCGACGCAGTATTTTTTTCTCATCTCCCAGCGACCTTCTTTGCACACACTATTTGCTGTAGCGATCAAACCTTACTCCTCTATCCGAACGTCGTAGGAGGCTGCCATTCAATGAAGCTCTTCCTTTTTCCTTTAGCTGCTGTATATCACATATTTGTGGAATCTCATTTTCAAAAATTCTAAGAAACTTGCTCGGAGGCAAAATAGCGTTGCATTGCAAAAACTCCATCTATGTTGTTATTGAAAGCTCTTCAAAAAAGATAAATGGGAGGCTGAATAGCTTAGAAATCAGCGTGATATAGTAGAGATAAAAAGAATGAGCTATGGTTTGGAGATTATTTTGAACCCTCGTCAAAAGGATGACCTTTGTAGCAGTTTGAAACAAGTAGAAATCCTACATCGAATTCCAATACAAATGTCAATCTCTATTTTACGGTATTTATTTACTGAAAAACGGAAACAAAACTTCATGTCAACCTGAGACATTGTGAAGCAGATACGGTTATCGTGATAAGTAGGTTGACTAACCCACAACTTGCTTTTTGTCTATCCACAAAGATTTTTTTTAGCATTTTTTAACTGTAAATCGCGAAAGGCTATCGATATGCCTGAAACATTTCGTCATCTTTGGGTATATTTGCCAAATTCTATAAAGATTACTGCTGCCCCTGCTTAAGTTTTCTCACGGATTAGCATCTTGCATTCTTTTTTCCTATCAAGCGCTTTTCTGCCTTGGAATCGTTAGCTTCAACCACCTGAAGGACAAGAGCTAGCTGGAGTAACCCCTTCTAAGTGTTTATGTCCTTGTAGTGTGCTGCATGAACAAATTCTGCAGCCCTATAAATCACATTCTGGCAAAGCAAGACTGCTGCGAGATGAAGGCGCAGTATTAGTTGCGAGCGTATTCTCAATGCTGTGAATACTGCGCCTAATGCGCTCTGCGGCTAATGAAGCCGCGCTCGCGCCCGGAGATTGCACCTTCGTCATGCAGCAGCGTTATAAAGCACATGTATAATCATGTACTAGTTGTCCTTAACGTTTGTTATGACTGCTCTATCTGAAACGTTCTACAGTTGGGCTTCAATAACATTTCGAATTTTTGCATACCATATTGATTTACAAAAAAAATTTCAGTAAAAACACATCAATGCGAGGAATATGAGTACACTATACTTGACCAGTGCATTATACTAAAAGAACATAGAAGCTTTGATCCAGGAGCCTGTGGAGATCAACACACACTTTACAGGATACAACAAACAGACGAACGCAAATGGCTTTGTGGTAGGTCACGAAAATTAGAGGTGTGGAATAGTTACAAGCCATATGTGGGACAATTCTTCAAAATAATTTCTGTTTCATTTATTTATGCGAAAATTTGGCATTTGTTATTGGCTAGTTGCAGTCGCTGCAAACGCCGGTTGGAATTCAGGGCTTGGTGATTGCTGCGAGATGTAAAGAAAAAGTTGGGAGCAATTTCTCTATTTTCATAGGTTTACGAGCTGTTTAAACAGACCTTCGTCGAGATATACTGTGTACTCTGCTCTGCTACGCATGTGTCTTTCGAAAAAAATGGAAGTCGGGAAAGTTGAACTACTCGCATCTTAACGCCAGCTTACAAGGGAACCGTGTTGAGTCGAAGTGGGCTTTCCAGATGTGACCCATACTGCTTTGAAGGGCATTAATCGGTGATTCCAAATCTACTTTTCAAATCTGCCAAGCGCCTCTGGACGCCGAGTTATGCTCGTTTTTCAGGTCAAAAAATTGAACACAAAACTGAAGCAAAATTGCCCAAATTTGCTCAAATGTATGTGTCAAGTATCAGAGCTATCAGGTTGATGCAAAAGAAATGGCCGATTTTCCAAGCCTTTTTTCAGGGCAACTTATTCCATCAATACTTCTTCTTTACAATGGATGCAGTATATTGTCGCGAAGCTGTAGTCATGCTCTATCTAACGGTGCTTGAAAAGGGCTCTCATCCTCATTTCTTATAAAGTTACTGAGCTTCAAATAACCGCATCCAAATTCAGTATTTCATCGCATTCACTTTTCCGGCCAGAATTCAAGCGCGTATCAGTGAGATCTTTTCGAAAATTTAGCTATTGTATGTAATAGAAATTTTCTTCACTATGCATACTTAACTGCTTTCTTTGAAGTTATCCAGACTGAGATATCGGCGCCTAAACATGGGTAGCTGTTGCGATCATTTTATGACCCATAATTTTCTTCTGAGGAAGTCAGTCGCCGAAGCTTTGCTCAATTCTGTAAGCGTAGAGCTAGGACATTTATTAGCAATGTTTGCAAAAACATCCAGCTGTTCAGTACGTAGAAAATCAGAAAATTCTATATTCCGGACTTTGAGGCACACTGAAAAAAATGTTGAAAAAACTAAGAAATTTTGAATTTCAATTTTTTCTTTCTCGCAAGCTTTTTTGTCCGACTTCTTTTTATTGTATTTTGTACTACTGGCTTGCGGCTACAAGATAGGCCACTTTTCATTCATACTTAGAAACTTTGAAGGAAGTTATGAATTGCCAAATACAAGGTCCTCGCAGAAGAACCTTTTTTGTCTTTTAGCCCGTATTTCTCTTCCTGTTTATGGTTTGATTATAAGTAAGTTTGCGCTTTGTTGCGAAAGGTTAGCTGCTTTTGCGAGTCTTTACCGCATTCAGAAATGTGGATCTTTTAGAAAGTTATAGCACATCAAATTGAGAATTCGCAAATCGGCCATTCCTTTTGCATCAACCTAATATTTATGCAATGGATACATTTTATTTAATGTGTTAATACTTAACATTGTTTTATCTGAGCGCTGGAAAGATTGTAACTATCAATTATACCTAAATTCTGCATTCATTTTTCGTTCCGAAGTACGGTCATAACTCGGCGTCCAGAGGCGCTTGGCAGATTAGGAAAGCAGATTTGGAATCACCGCCTAATACTCTTCAAAGCAGTATGGGTCTCATCTAGAAAGGCCACTTCCACTCGACACAGTTCCCTTGTTAGCTCTAAACTCATTTCGAAATTTTAAGCTATCTGAAATTTCTGACCATCAACAACTTATCTAGAAACAAGAACTTCATGACCTATTGCATTTGAAAATCAAAATGAACGGAACTTATGGGACAACCTGATACTTAGGCAGTCTGGAGATCGGCTTTTCAATAACGTAAGCTGCAAAGCCAAAAATAAATTATTCAAAACTAAGAATCGGATTTCTCATGAGTGATACGTACTAGGTCGGACACAATGTTTTGGTTTTTGAAAAGACCCGCAAATTCCGTATACTGAAGATAAAACACTTCAAGCTGCATCCGATGCAGCATTTCTTCCCTTGCTGCTATATACCCACTGTGATTCACTGAAAGGGTGCTGAGAAAATTGCTGGACATAACAACTCTTCGTTTTCACCATGTCTGACTTCCGCTGATTTTCAGGATTTTAAACTGAGATTTTCGGAAAAGTTTTGATAGCCAGTAGATTGGGCAAACCATTTGCAAGCTAAAGCAATTTTTTGTAGCTCTATGGCTTGTCTTTCACAATTTATAAAACTTACTTTTCAAATTAACCAGATTTTATATGCCGCTTATTCTAACCGGGGACGAGTGGCGTAGTGGTGTGAGGCGCCGCTATGACCAGATCGGACACAGGTTCGATTCCCGCCCCTGGGCCAACCAAGCCCTCTACCCTCCGGGGCCGGTAAATTGGTACCAGAGTAATCTGGGAGGATAAAATCACTGACTTGGAAACGGCTGGCCCCCGCAAGTCACTGTAATAGGCTCGCACGCACACAATTGCCTCTTCGACCTGAAGTTAGTGTGTGCGTTCGGCGCATGCCCTCAGAGGGTATTGAAGACGCCGAATCCTTTCCTATCCTTTTTTATGCTACTCGTAGAACTTGAAGCGGTTATACAGTTCAGGTACTACGCAACTTTTTCCGCTTTAACAGATGCCTTTTCTTTTCGATACAGGCGAAAGTTGCGGGAGCATTGCGTATTTCTCAATTTCAGGAGTGCGCAGTGATGTACACTAAGTTTTGGAATTTTCATATTTTGGGGTGAAAATCGCTAATTTGCTTTGTAAGGTAGTATTAGTAGTAATAAATTTAGTGTGAAACGTCGGTATTCTGAGGATTTTGTAATGTTTCGTGTAGAACAAGTCATGTGATCTTACTAAAACTCTAAACTTTTCGAAGGTTTGGCAAAGTTCTAAAGTAGCTGGAAAAAGGAAAAAATTCTTTGGTTGGCAAAAGCCCTATCTCTGGTTATTGAAGCTCCCCCAAAAGCATATAACTTTTAAATATTAGTGGAAGTTGGATATGGTGAAAATAAAGGGTTATATTTTCTTGCGATTATCTCAGTGCTCTTCAATACTGTCGCATCTAATACATAGCAGTGGGAAAGAGGAAGAAATTCTGCATCTGATATTGCTCAAAGCATTTGTTTACCTTTACTTTGAAGAATATACGGGTCATTACAAAAAACCGAAGCACTTCTGTGGCCGTATTCATCAACGAACCCTGAGGGTTAAACTAACCCTGGGGATAAAGGCGTCAGTTACGCGTGCGCTGTGCAAACTCACATCACAGAATGCCCAAGTACGTGCTAAATTCACTTTATACTTCTATTCTTTCACTGTTATAGTAGTATAATGAACGAATAAGCTTCTAACACTAGTTTTTATAATACATCTCTAGCATATTTGTGCAGCATCCAATCTTGCAGCGTGATTTTATTTTCACGTGTGCAATTGTGCCGTGTAAGTTCTACTTTTGCGCAGTTCGTTTTATACCGGGCCTGTGCTACTCTTTTAGGGATCAATGCGTGTTATTATAGAGGGGTTCTTCTGTTTTGGCACTTGTCAGAGTGGAATGCCATTTTTCTCCGTCGCATTCATTTGTCACCAAAGCTAGAATTCTTTTCCTCGCGATGTCAGTGTTTCATGTATTTCGAATATGAACATAAAATGATGTTGAAACTAAATACTATAACAACAACCAATACTAAATACTACAATACTCGTTGATCGTTTTCCATAAACTATTAGACGCAAATGTTTGTATGAAGTGTTAGGGTAGAGTTAACCTTGCTCTGAGCTAGGGTTAAATTAACCCTGATGAATCACGTAAGTTTAACCCCCCAGGGTTAGTTTAACCCTCACGGTTCGCTGATGAATACGGGTTAGTCGCTTTCGGGGTAAAATTAACCCTCAAGGTTAAATTTAACCCTCATTGTTAAGCCTACCCTGTGTTTCATGAATACGGATTAAACGCTTTCCAGGATTGAACTAACCCTCCAGGGTTAGTTTAACCCTCGGGGTTCGTTGATGAATACGGCCACTGGACCGACCTACACACTTTTTCTGATTTTCAACTTCCAATTAAGATAATTCTTTTTCCAAAGCCTCTTCTTGAGCGCAATCAAAATTTTTCAAACAGCACACCTTTGACTATATAACGCATGCTTTTGTTGGATCGTAGCCGTTGTGAAATTCTCAGCCCAAAGTCCCTAAGCATTTTTGTAGAAAATACTTTGAGAAAGCTTAACTTGCTCTTAAATGTACTATCGCGCAAGCTTTGCTCATTATATACGATGGTCGGCTGTGTAATGGAGTCAAGCTTGGATTTTTGGCAGTTTTCTATGGTAAAACTTAAAAAACAAAAAAACAAAAAATTATAATTACCTACTTTTTTCAGCATTTTGAAAACTCCAAAGTACTGCTTTTTCGGGGATTTTTCAAATTTTTCTCCTCCAAAAGATGAGCACATGCTGCCGGTTTTAGAAGTTGTACTAGATCAGCTTTAGGTGCATTTAGCGAAATTTGTACAATCGGTTTTTGTCTAAGCTTTTTATGAAGCATAGGTGGGCCTCAGCGACCAGCCAAGTTTGAGACAAGATAAGACAAGATCTCAGCTCAATTTCTCAAAAGTCTAATTTGACAAGCGTTTTGTAGCAAAAGACTTCGCAATCGTTATGCAAATTATTTGAATCAAAATCCGTCTACTTTTCATAAATTTAGATCAAGGAGAGTAAAAGTAAAGACTTTCTTCGCACTTCTCTCTGAAGGCATTATTCCATTTAGACAAACTGCGAAAATGAAAGTATTTGGTAATATTTGGTTGTTTATTTAGTTGCTCTGCAATTGAATAAACGCAAATTTCTTCTGAACCATTCCAAAGTAAAGTCCTAGAATGCTCTTTGCGGTATCACATGGATCTACTTGCATTTCAAAAACTTTTTCTTCCACGATACGAACATGTGTTTGCAAAAAGTACTTGCATACAGCAATCATCTTAGTTGTTCAAAATCATTTGTGAGACTCCACACGTGCAAAGCTTTCCAGGTAAAAACCTAAATCTTTATTTACGAGGCTTGCAGAAAACATCATAAGCAGTATGTTGAAATGGTTTTCAAACTGATTTATAAGACATTTTCTAACTCTTAGGGGCACTTGAGAGAGCCAAAATAACACCGGTTTTCAATATGCTGCCCTCCCAAGCATGATTTTCAAAATTTATAATCCTTTTTCAAATCAACTTCCAGATATAAGTATTAACTGTGTTGAAGGCAAAGGCCTATTTCACCTTAGTGCGCAATTCTAAAGCAAGAAAAGAGACTTTTGGAAAGATACGTGTAAACTTGCAAAATTACGTCTTCGTAAGGAAAATCTCAATTGATGAAAAAATTTGAAATTTTCCCGAAATAAATCGGCCGAATATGATTTGAATGTTGCGATACGTTGATTGTGATTGCTGAAAATAGATCCATGCTTGATCCGCAGTCAAGCCTGTCTTGCATCCTTTTGGCACTTACAGAACACGCGTAATTTATTTTGGCGTAGTTGTATATCGAATTTTATCCCCCCACGTAATTCAAAAAAGGAAGATTCTTTCAAGAAGTTACGAAGATTTTTTCCTCCATATTCAGCAGACTTGATTTACAATCTAATACTTTTCAACTTCCTAGGTTTCTTTTAGTTTTGGTAACGAAAGCATTCGAAGTTTGGATTGGTAATACACCAGAAGAAGTCCAATTTCTTGATCCTCGGTTACCTGCAGGTATGTTGGCATTGAATCTTGTTGCAAGCAAATATGTACGTTATATAATTCTACACATAACTTTTGCTTTAAAAGCAATCTTCTAACAATCTCTCGTTCATGGTTAGAGCAAAAAGACGTAGTACTTAAAATAAGGTCATAATCAGTTACTTCGAATAGCTTTTCAGTCATAGCAACGAATTTTATTATTATTATCACTTACTTACTCATACGTATTGATAAACCTATAGAATTTAGACACAAAACATCGATGATCAACATTTACACTCAATTTCAAAGCTGCTCAGACAGCGTAAATCTTGCAGCGGCGAGGAGATGTTCCTCTGACATATTTTTGGAAAACACTTGACAAATAAATCAGTTTTGAAAAAAAGAGTTCAATAATCCAAAGTTTATCGGTTTCTTCAAGGTCTGAAATTTGTTGACATTCAAATTTCAGTATTCTTCGAATGTGTCAAAGTTTCAAGCGCAGTTCTATAATAAACGCTGGTCGACTCCAAAAGATTACCCAGCACTGCTAATAAACTTGATAAATTAAGCTGACTTTCATCCTGTTGATGATTTTTACAGTGCTGGCCAAAACTATAGATCCACTCCGAAAACTGCCGTTGTTCATCTGCTTCTCAACGAATGCATCTGAAATTTGGTACAGCTGTGTGTTTAACAGGCTACTATCAGTGACTAGAACGGATCCCGCTTTCGTTTGATTATTCGGGAGAAAATCAAAAATTTCGAAAAAAGCAAGTTTGAAGGTTGGCCAAAACTATAGATCCACCCAAAATTTCTATCCGCTAAAGTAATTCTCAGCTTCCAAAGCTTTTTGTGCATATACATAATCAAAAGCCAAAGCAGTGGTTTTAGTCCAGCTGTGTCATACCTTCATAGGAAACGCTTATCTCTTTTTTTCACTTAGAAATAATTTCACGCGTATTTTGTTTCAGAGTTTGTGTTTTTGTTAGAAGATTCCGCACTTTTTTGGCTGGTTTGGAAGCGATAGGGCTCCATCTAGCTTATGGATGCTTAGCAGGGTGAATAGTACAAAAAATACGAGTTTTTGTATCCAAAGTGCACCAACATAGACCTAACCGCAGGCCTGCGTTCAAATTTCTGCCTTCAAACTGTTTATGCAATGTTGTCATGAGCGTGAACTGGAGTAATGACATTGTTAGCATGTACAAAAGTCCATATTGCGTGATTGTAGATTTCTGCAGATCCTAGCATGCAGGCTTATTGAAGACTTCATCCTGCAAAAAGTGATTTGCAACAAGACTTGAAGTTATTTCTGGTTCTGACCATAATGCTCATATAAGTCACAAAGCAACTTACAATACAGGGTGTATTTACTAGTTAACAGCTGAATAGTGGCAAAATCTAAGGAAGGTACCACTCGGTAAGTACCTGAGATTGCCGAGCGCACCGCAAGACTTAGGTTTTGAAAAAGAATTAAGATGCGACTTTGCGAACAATCGCGACTATAGTTTACAAACTTCTTTTTATGTAAAAAAGTAATGCTTCTACATTATTTTGAGCTTACAAAAATAGCGTACACCAATTTTGAAAGCAGAATTTGGAGCGCAGGCTTGCTGTTAGATTTATGTGGAGTGCGCTTCAAACACAAAAACTCAAATTTTTTTCTACTGCTCACACTGCTAAGTATCCATAAGATAGATTAAGCCCTATCGCTTCCAAACCAGTCAAAAAAGTGCGAAATCTTCTAACAAAAATACAAACTCTGAAACAAAATATGCTTAAAAATATTTCTAAGTGAAAAGAAGAGATAAGCGTTTTCTATAAAGGTATGACACAGCTGGACTAAACCACTGCTTTTACTTTCGATTATGTATATGCGCAAAAAACTTTGGAAGCTGAGAATTACTTTAGCGGACAGAAATTTTGGGTGGATCTATAGTTTTGGCTAACCTTCGGACCTGCTTTTTTCGAAAATTTTGATTTTTTCCCGAATAGTCAAACGAAAGCGGGATTCGTTCTAGTCACTGATAGTAGCCTGTAAACACACAGATGTACCAAATTTCAGATGCATTCGTTGAGAAGCAGATGAACAACAGCAGTTTTCGGAGTGGATCTATAGTTTTGGCCAGCACTGTATAACCTAATCAATCCATTTTTCCACATGGCCTATGGGATTCCCATAGGCTCAATTGTACGCCATTCATTCTTGAGCGTCTAACCACTCAAAAATGATTGGCACCTGTGCACCAGGAGTGTGGCCGAACGGCGGCAACTCCTTTTAAGCCATGTACCCCTTCCACGTTGTACTTTGTTCCCGGGGAAGCTCCACCTCGTATCCATGTATGTAAGGAGCCCCCGAATGTATTCTACACTCTTCTCGAATAACCTACGCCCGTGCGAATAAACCTTATTCCAAAACTCGTCTAACCCCTGATCACTTGATAACTACTAAACATCCTAACACACTGGTGGAGTTACCGAATAACTCGAGGCGTTCATGCTGGCCTGCTCGCTGCACCTATAAAGTCAACAATAATTTCTGTTATTATACCCGCAGATGTAATCTTGAGACCAACGAAAAAATCTTGAAAGAATCAAGAGCATATTTTCATACTATGTCACAGCTTCACTCCCGGGCGATTTGCAATATTATTCTAATTGTTCATAACCCAAGAACGCATCCCGAATGCACAAATGTAAAGCATTTTACGAGTCTATGAGAGCTACACTTTATGCATTTTGGAGTCTGTCAACGTTCAATCTGAAACATTTGGCAGATTCCAGATTGCGTGGCGGCCGAAATCTCATGAAGTATGCCCTGTACAATCAAGTATTGGACGTGTTCTATGCTTTGATGCAGTCTGCTATGTAAACCATGCGCACATAAAATACGTTGACGTACCAAAATTGAAAAGTTGGTTATAATGGATGAACGGCAGGACAGCGATAAAAAGAACATCAAAATGAACCTCTCTGTTTTCCTTGCTTCAGAAAGTATATACTCTTTCTGGATTCCATTGTTCAAAGCCAATGAGTGAAAGGGATGCAAACGTTAAAGATTCAAGAGTTTTCGTAGTAACTTCTAAGTTTCGTGGAGCAGCTAGAACAACTGGAAAAGTGCTGTCCGTTTTGCTGTCGTTTTCGAGAGATGTGTATGCTTTGATAATGTTCACCAAAATGTTGTTTCTTTTCTTCTTGCCAAAGCCCCTCCTTTCAATTTGATCAACTTAGCGTATACGGACTCCTTTGATAAACAAAATGTTCAACGCCAAAGAAAGAAAAAGGAAGAGCGATGATGATTGACGTCAAGAAGAATTCTGAGATATAAGTTTGTCAACGTACTTTATGGGCAGCTGGTACAATTGCATTCTTCGGCTATCAAGAGAGTCCACATTATATAAAAAACTAGTTGGCAAACCCGGCTCCGCCCGGGCCTGTCAATAATATATTTGTAATCAGCAGCTCGATTACCCCCTGTGCCAACTCCCAGCTCTGTAGCTCAAGTTTTGCAAAAAATCGATAAAATCGATATCGATCGATACGAAAAGTAGCCTATGACACCCGCCGGGGCCCGAAGTGTGTGTGTGCCAAGTTTGGTCCGGATCGGTTCAGAAATGGAATTTTCCATCCGGAACATACGTACACACATACAGACAGACATACAGACATACAGACATACAGACAAACAGACATTTAGCTTTATATATAAGATCATTAATTGCAAGGAATTGTTCTTTACAATACATGCGTCAAAGAAATTCGAAATGCATGTGTAAATTCTCATCTTTTAATCTCTTTCATCTTTTAATCCCCTTCCACATATTCTACAAAAGCTGTCAGCAAGAAAGTGCTGCTGAGAATCGTTATTAGCAAAAAATACGTTGAAAACTTCCAGATTACAAGACAATGGATTTGAGTAAGATGAGGATAAAGTTGCAATTGGGTGGCAGCAAGCTGGATGGCATTCCAGCAGGAACTTTATTTTATGAATTGCCTGAAAAGCACCATTTTCATGTTTGCGCAAGACCCGCCCGAGCATTCGAGCAAAGTGGGTAGTTTTCCTTTTCTTACCTTACGTCTTTCTTTTTATTTCGAATAATATTTTCTTAAGCTCTTGAGGAATTGGAAGACAGATTTGGGCACTTGGGACTTCCAAGTGGAGTCAGCAGAGATTTATCAGGAAGAATTCGTCCTTTTACCTATGTGCCTTTGATGTTACCTGTGAGAGGTGATCATGACAAAGCACATGTCCAAGAACTTCACGAGGCCTGCAAAGTAAGTGCTGTTTTACAATAACATCACGAGAGTAAGCAAAAACATTCCATGCTTGCAATTAATTTCTGAGACACTTGGAAAGTGTTGCGTGGGCAGTCGCAGAATAGCGTAACATTCAGTCCGCGATCGGCGACACATTGAGTGTTACGAATGTTTTTTTCGCGGATGGCTTTATCGAGATATTTTTCGTGTTAGCTTAGCAGATTAGCCAATGCAGCGATGTCATTTACCTTTTTCTACACCATGTCAAATAGCGTGCGCAATGACTCTTATCATATACTTGTTGTAAATGAAAGTTGACAGTACAGTCAGTACACCTCTTTGAAATTCAACTGGCCTGACTTATCACCTCGTATGAGTACTGTATGCAAAGATTGATTCATATTCAGGTGTTTCCATATGGTTACGTTGCTTCTCTTGGCGAATTTCAGGACACTACGCAATTTAATACTTTGAAATCTCAGGCAAGCCTAAACCAAATGAATTATGGATACTCAAGCTGCTCTTCAAGACATTGCCACTTCCTAAGAAATCATCTTCTTATATGAAATTCTTTCAGTTTCCCAGCGGTTTATATCGGACGACTATTGCACGCATGCATTCGGTTTATGACGATCATGTCTATGATATTTGCAACCCGAACAAGCTTTATGAGGTCTTTTGGAAAAAGTTTCGGTATTATGGCCCGCACAACAACACCTTGGTCAGTTTGTCTCCAAAAAGCTTATTTGAATTTGCGTAGCTTTCACATCTTTGTAATCCTCTTCAGTTTTGGTTTACTTGTAGTTGACAGGTTAGAGTTTTTGATCACTGCTCTCACCCAATAAAATTGTCAAAGTGCCTCTTTATAAGGAAATTGTGGGTGAAGCATCAAGCATTAGGCTATTAAAATCTGTATTTGCGAACGCTTTTTGTAGAAGGATTCAAGTCACAGGCAGTGGTCCATGCCAATGAGATTTCTAATCACTGTCATATCCCACTCGCTCCAGCATAGCATAAAAAAGATATTCTAAGCCCGTAAGTTCGGCTTCGAACATTAAGCAATATTAAGTATTAAAGATGAATGAATGATGCCAATATTCGTAACGAAATTATCAAAATGTCCCTATATGTTATGTTCAAAAAAGTATGAAAAGCTCTTTTTGTTAAGGATGGACGCGGTGGCACCTATAGGCAATGATTATTGAATTTGATCTTGACCATGTACTTTGTACCGTGGTGGCTATAAATAAGGCTGCCCGGCCGTTGTTTTAGTCATTGTTATTGTCTGCTATTTCTAGTCTTCTAATAAATTCTTCTATTACTCTCTCTATCCCCACCTGGACATCCGCCCTCGCACTAACGACCCCGGTTAGTGCGTGACATGGGGGCCGAACCGAACCAACCCCGCCGATAAGACCGCGTAAGCGGAAAAGGCGAGTATCCTGCCTATATCAGAGGCAGTGTTTATCCCCGATTCAAAGAGGAGCTCGTTGTGTGGCACATCGAGCCTTCTCAGAGGACCGGAGGAGGGTGTCAGTTACACCGCCGTGGTCTACCTCTACAAGGGAGCAGCGGCGCGTGTACCGTATACTGACAGGTCCCTCTTGGTCAAGGGGTATACTTTGTGGCTTGTATCAGCCACACCGCAAGACCCAGCCTAGAGGGAGGAGGGGTACACGCGTGTGTACCGTGAGCTGATACATCGTCGAAATTGAATTTGTGCTGCAGTGAAGCACAGAACATTGGATTTGAATAAAGCTCTATTTCGTACAGATACCGAGCTTGAATTGTTTTCATTGAAGAAGCCGATGGACACCATGCAGAAAATGCCGGAGTGTCAGAAAAAGGTTCCGCATACAATAACGTCGACCGAGGGTGAGGTCGCACAGGCAGATATTGCGGAGCTGTTGGCAGCAATGGCCCTTCCAGAGGTTGAGCTCTATGGAGATCCCCAAGGAAAACTTCGATGATTTTGTTTGCAGGTTCATAATGAAGTATGGTAGACTTGGACTGCATAACGACATGCTAGTACATCTTTTTCTGTCTAAACTGGACGGATATCCTAAGGTAGTGGCCGAAACACTATCAGCAAGGATACGGGAGAGTACCTTCGAAGAAATTGTAGAAGCACTGCGAAACACATGGAGCATAAATGAGTCTGCTGATCAAATAACTGCGTATGTACAACTCAAACATCTGCGGATGACAAAGGACATTACAGCCTTCTGTCTTGAGTTAGAGAGGCTTACGCGGTTAGCGTACCCAGACACCACAGACAAGCAGCTCTCATGGATAAGAGCTGCAGAATTGGTTTTGCAGTTGAGGGACTGGCCTGAATACTTCCAGATGTTCACCACCGTAGAGACAGCGCCGAGGGAATGCGCGTATGAGCTGGTGAAAGCTATGGCGTTGCGCTGCGAACGTAGCAGGGAGATGGCTGTGGCGGTGCAACAAAGTACGGAACAAGTCGTGCTAAATGCATATGCCGATACATCCGTTAGCGAGAGCCAGACTCCAGTGGTGGAAAAAAATTGTGTTATGCAAGATACTTTGGAAGCATCTTGCAAAAGGTGGCCACGCTGTTACAACTGTAACAAACCAGGACATTATAGTCGCGAGTGTGGAGAAAGGAAAACCTCAGCGTCAGCAAAGAAACTTGAACAGTGCCCAAGTAACTTCACAGCATCTTTGGATCGATGGATTTGCAGCTCGGCAAGGACACGATCAAGGAAAAATCAGCTGTTTGGAAAGCAAATGGTGCTAAATGTACGTTTGCTGGGATTGTCTCGAAGAGCTATGGTAGATACAGGCTCTCGAGTCAGCATTATCCCCCTGAGATTACTAATGATGAGCATGAAAAAGGGATTTGATCTGAACGCGGACGTTGAAGAAATCCCGATTCAGCAGTTACCTTCCGCATACGATGCCTCCGGGAAACGGATAAAGTTCAAGGGAGCGGTGAAGCTCACCTTGCAAGTCGAGAGTGGCACCAAGCACAGAGTAGCCTTTTTCGTTAGAGAGGGAGGAGATGGCAGAGTTGTGCTCGGAACAAATGCGCTACCGCAACTTGGGCCATATATCGCTGATTTGAGAAACACTCATAGTGGCACAAAAAGGACAGTTGTCGAAAAATTCGTCCAAGTCGGTGTTCCAAGAAAACGGAAAAACCGGAAACAACAGCTCGAGGCTGCACCGCTAACCGAGATGTCTTCTAATCGTAAAGGAGTACGGGAAGAGGTCGCGAACTGTAAAGTAGCCTCGAGTACAAAGGGCAGGAGCGGTCGCTTTCAGCACGACGTTAACTTGGCAGGGGCCAAGCTCACCGTGGCGGGGGAGAACACGAGGATCTGCAATCCTGTGCGGTCCCTAGAGCGACAGCTCAAGAGAGCCAAGAGAGGCAGGTCGTCAAAAGCTGCCAAAAATCGACTACATCTAAATTCACAATGCCCTAGCTTAAGAAATGACGTAAAGACAACCGAGTCTGGTGCTGAATCACGTACTAAGAGCCACAAATATCGCATTAGACCCCTTAATTCTATTTTCAGGTATAGTCGTAGGTGGATGCAAGGACAACCTCTTGATTTGGTAGATGATTGCCACGATGCGGGTAGCCAAGGTGGAAATCGGCCATCAATGGTGCAACAGCACTCCTTCTATGGAGGTGGGAGAAGACCTGTCGTCAGTTTCCTGGTCTCCAAGGGTCAAGACGCGAGTGTTGTCAATCCTCACTATGCACAAGTCAAGAGTCGGGACAACTCTTACCGACGGAGGGGCATGTTAAGGATGGACGCGATGGCACCTATAGGCAATGATTATTGAATTTGATCTTGATCATGTACTTTGTACCGTGGTGGCTATAAATAAGGCCGCCCGGCCGTTGTTTTAGTCATTGTTATTGTCTGCTACTTCTAGTCTTCTAATAAATTCTTCTATTACTCTCTCTCTCCCCACCTGGACATCCGCCCTCGCACTAACGACCCCGGTTAGTGCGTGACATTTTTACTTGTTATTTGGCTTTAGATTCAACAAGTGCTATGTAAGTATTGCTGCCTATGAAACTATTCATATCAGGCTTAGGCTCAAATATCTATCGCATCACATACTGCCCCGGCAGGATGAACTTAAAACAATGGAAAAGTTACATTTGGAAGAGCAAGGCAAGCATTAAAGGCTTCCAACATGCAAAAACTTCAATGCAGGCTTTGAGTCAAAATGAGAGAACTTCACATGCCCAAAAATGGAGCCTCCGTTTATGATATCCTTACTGACCTTCAGTTTGCTCACAATGTATTCACATCAGAATTCACAAGTACGCTGCTTCAGTTTTCTCCACTGCTCTAAGTAACAAAAAACAAATTACGAATTGTTGCGTTTTTCGGTTTTTTGGTGCTAAATTTTACAAGTTTGAAAGCTAGCGCTCGTAGAAAGCAAAGATTCGTGTTTACTTTCATAACCTTCCACCTTAGAATATACTAGAACGCGTTAAGTCGTTGACATTTTTATTTATTTTATTCATTTATTTATTTATTTGATACGCAAAACGCGTGGGGGTAGGGCTGGCCGAGAGGTTAGTGCCCTTGGCCACGGCGAGGAAGGTCACAGGTTCGGTTCCGAGGCCGGCCCAATTTCTTTGGCAGAAAAGCTCTGCCCACGATTCCAGCGTCAGGCTGCTCATCCTTAGGAAGCAAGCGACAAGCCGGCTGAAGAAGACACCACGTCGCATCAGATGCTCTTTTATGTCTCAAAGATTCTCGTATAAAAGCTAGGGCGTTCCCCGGAGGCGACGCGCATTCGAGCCCGACGGATGCGGACAGTAGGCGAGGGTTAACGTTTCAGCAAGGTGAACGGGGACGGCTAAAGAAGCTAGTTCACCACAGGAAGATTTCCAAGTTCTTGGCATTACGTCTAGCTACCATCAACGTCGGTTCTCTCACATCACGACATCGCGAGCTTGCCGATCTCCTCAGAAGACGTAAAGTAGACGTTGCTTGTACTCAGGGGACCAAATGGAAAGGTGAAAGGGCGTGTGACATCGGTGATGGCTACAAGCTTCTGTACAAAGGAACCACCAACAAAAGAAATGGTGTCGGCATAGTCGTCTCTGAGGTTACCAGTGTAGATCGAATGAATGTTCGTCTCATGAGTATAAGATTGGACACTGGGAAGAAAATGCTTCGAGTAGTGACGGCCTATGCACCGCAAGCGGGATGTGAAGAAGCGGAGAAGGAAGAATTCTGGCAGCAGCTTGATGAGTATGTCAATTTGATACCAGAAGAAGAAATGTTACTGATCGGTGCCGATTTCAATGGACATGTCGGAGAGCAACGAAGCGGTCTACAGAAATGCCATGGAAACCACGGTTACGGAACACGTAACGACGAAGGAGAACTATTCTGGAGTTTGCTACAGCCCACGACCTAGCCTTGGCAAATACGTACTTCATCAACAAGACCAACCACCTTATCACGTACGCCAGTGGAGACCACAATTCGCAGATAGACTTCTGGAGTGTACGACACAACGAGCTCAAGTACGTGAAGGATAGCAAAGTTATCCCAGTTGAAGAATGCGTGCCACAACATCGGCCACTGATACTGGATCTCAATATCCCAGTCGACAGGAGAAGAAGGGTGATGACCGAACAAGAAGTACGCATCAAATGGTGGAAGCTCAAAGATAACTCTCACACCAGAACGTCAATGGAATCTGCCCTGCCAATAA